TATGCTTAGATAAGTATTTCTGTACTCACACTTTACAAAGCCATCAACTGAAAGGACATAAAATACATTCAAGACTGAACAGAGACGCAAGAGAACTGTGAATAAAAAGGCAACATGTTTCAGGTGATACAACATGACACAGAAAGTATTGCACATTTAAGAACTCAAAAGCCACTACCAGTTGCGGGCCTGAACTTGTGAGCAAGATCCTTCGAAAGGGCCAGAGTTACCCGACATCCAGGTCCTCCACAGTTTGTCTTGGTACAGCCTTGAGTTCACTTCTCGGACTGGTCACTTTTGTGACCTAAGAGTTCACAAGACAGGTCTTCTCAATCTGGTAACTCATAAGGATGAATCACTTACTGACATCTTCAAGCCTTCAGTCCTACCAAAGGCACTCAACACCCCTAGAACGGCATCGGTGGTGTACAGGACCAGACACCGAACCAAAAGTACCACCCACTTGGAAGGTGTGCCATCATGAAAATTTAAAGAGCCATCCTTGGCAAATGTTACCCTGCCACTTCAACAGCCTTGCAAAGCTTAGTAGGCACTAACAACACTGCAACTCACTTGAGCAAGAGAACACAGAGCTCCGCAAAAACATGAGGTGTTTGTTTCTTAAACAGTCATTGTAACAAACATAGAATACAACATTTTAATGGGCTACATCATCTATAAAAAGTGTATGTTCAGCATGAATTTAAATTATAAACTGGTAATAAATAATACAGTATCTTTGAGCACATTTTAAAATATACATTATGAAATAAAATTTAATTTTCAGAAAAGCTTTCAACCTTTCTGTTCAAAAACACATTTAACCGATCCTTTATAAACAGCTGCAGCCTGCCTGCCTGAAAATTTTGATTTATGAAGCCCTCCTGCCTAGTCCAGAACATTTATTTGTATTAACTTTCCTTTTTTTTTTTTTCTAAGGCAGATTAAATAAGAGCTGAATTCACAAAAACTGTTAATGTAGCAACTACCTTAAATTATAATTTATTGTTGTGGTTGTAATTTGTTTTCATCATTCTAGTTTATTTAGTACATATAAATATCCACTGAAGTAAGCTACTGTGAAGACTTGCAAGTACCACAGTCAGAGCAGTAGCTAGACCTAAATTTAAAATGCACATATTTCTTTCTGGATAAGAAAAGGTAGGTTCCCTCTGGTCACAGAGAAGGTCTCCACGCACCTCCCTGTTAACCAGTCATTGCAATCTGTCCATTAACACGAACCTGGCTAAATGTCACGTTCAATGGGAATCAGAAGCAGCACACTACCATTTCTTTGAGGCTGTAAATTTTCCACTATACTATTGAGAGCAGCGTGGCATAGCTATCTGGGCAGCCCAGCATTTCCAGAAATGTAGGCTTATAGATAGTAATAAGATAGCTGAATGGAGCAGAAAAGCCCTTTCTGTAAGACACCCTTTGTGCACAGAGATCCTCCCAGTTGATCCCATGAGCTCCCTGGGCAGAAGGTTTAAGAGCACATTGGGCTGCTTCTCCTCTCACATCCTGCGCAGTGAGAGGTGAGAGAAATGACGTCTATCAACGACTGTTCACAAGGGCCTCAGTGACCCTCTTGGCAGCTAATGTGGAAGACGCAATTTCTCAGCGTCATATTGCTTTGTACTGCCCATGCCCTGAGGCCAGGATCTGGCCTCTAGACATTCCAGGCAGAGCTGTGAAACGAGGTGGTTCACCCAATCTGGCCTGGAACAGCTTTTCCCAGTGGGAACAGTGTGTGAGTGTTGGGGGTAACCTCGAGAAATCAAATTGCTTTCAGCTGGAGTTTATAAAAAGGATGGTGTGTTTGTTACTACCAATAGTAGGAAATGTCACCTGATGAATAGGAATCTCCTTCCAAATGCCTATTGTTATGTATTCTCATTAAAAAAGCTTCATAAGGCCATACTCTATTAATCCATTGCAGAAGGCATATATAGCACAAGTAAGAAAACGCCTTTACACAAACACTTTGTTAAAGACTACATCAAAACATTAAAAACGCTGATGTTTGAATACATTCCTAATCTTTCATGAAAAGGAGGATTTCACTGCTTTAGAAAACTAGGAATATTGCAGAGAGGAAGACAAAAAACAGGTGTCAAAAAGAAGTTGGAAAGAAAGCACCATATGAAAATCATACTTAACTTCTGATGTCCACTTGACAAGCTAATTAAATGTTTCATGATGTTATATTGAAGTTCAAGTAAGCTACCTAGGAAAAAATCCTGGCCCATCTGAAGTCAATGGTAAGGGGATTTTTACCTGCAATTCCCACTATCTTTGAGAAGATACTAAAACAAAAGGTATACATTGAGGCATCAGAGAAAGGCTTCAATCACAAAAGAAGAGGAAGAAAAGAGCATGTTGCTTGTTTTTTTTAAAGTACATGCCATGTAAACTAATCTTCATGGCAATCTTTCTGGTCTATGATACATTGAATGCAATACTGTGAGTAATTTTAGCTTTATTTTTATTCATTTATCATTTAGCAAGACTCTTCTGTAGCTGTAAATCACTTTTAAAATTGTTTCATTACCTTGTACACTGCTGCTTTGCGAAAGTGCAAACGCAAGATTTTAGCAAGCAGTGCTGTATTTTTTTCATGTCACATGTACAAATGCATATAAAAATAGCTCCTTGATTAACATATGATAATATCCTCAGGCCACAATGAAAACAAATATAATACAGTATTATAGCACAGGTATTCTTTTTATCACAGGAATAGTATCTGTGAGATACACTTATCCGATCAAGGATTTCAAAATCACATCCTTAAAGCATTCAATGCATTTTCAATGAATTGATAGCTATGGTCTTCAGTGAGCTGCCCTGACAGTAAAAAAAGAGACATAGAACTTAATCTAATCTTAAATTACTCATATTTCATCACACTCTTCCGCTTGCTAACTGAGAAATATTTCTAAAAACTGCCATGACGTTGCTCATGGATCAAAAAGCAAGTGAAATTTATAAAACAGTACTCATAAGAACTTTGGACAAATACAACTGCTAGTCTGAACATGTGCAACACAACTGTTTCGTGATTCAGTGTTGTAAATGTAGTTTATATTTTAAACTTTTAATAATTTTAGCTGCATATAAAATAGACAATAAGTTAAATTATAGCACCTTGCGTGAAATTTGTTCTAAAAAATACAAAGATCACACCTTTTAAAATTGTGAGAAATACAACTATCCTATGTCAAGCCCACCATGCACCTGTCATTTAAAATAAAATGAATTTACATGTAATGAAGACATGCATAAATATCACAAATTTGGGGCACAAAATGGAATTTTAAAGTTAGGGATGTAGGAAATCCTTGTTTTTTCATCAAATTATCTGATACACCAGAAAAAGGCGTATCTACAATTTTCAAAAAGCTCTATTATCATAGAATCATTGAAGCTAAAAATGGAAACTGCCTATTCAAGTATGTAGTTCAAACTCTTGCCAAAGGAAGATTATTTTCTACTACTGCACTAGATCTAACTTAAAACTTTCCAAGAAATTGTATGCATTGATAAACACTACTGTGTCATTCCATAACCTAACTAATCTCATTGGTAGGATCCTTCTTTGGATCCTATTCATTGGATATGTATCTTGTTTCAAATTTATATAATGAGTTCTAGTTACACCTTCACACTTAGAAAGCCTCCTCCTTTACATGTATTTTTTACATAACAAAAAATGATACACACTTAACAACTCAATCTTTCCGACTTCTTTCTCACTTTAATTTTGTTACCATTCTCTGACTTTTCAGAAGATTGACCTCCCTGAGGTACCCAAAATGTAAGACTGTACTCCAGAAATGACCTCAGCAATCACAAGGAATATTCCGATTTCCAGCTGCTTGATACAGTTCTGCATATATACTCTTCTTTTGACATCAGTGATGCCAGAAACAACTTTGTTGCCTACATTATCAAGGCTTCTTACTACGTTATTACATTTCAGTCCTCTCTCTAAGTATCCAAGTTTCCTCAAGTTCATTACCTTTTCTCTGAATCTCTTATGCTGTGTCTAATTGATTGGACGTCTCCCACTCAGGTATCATATAGTGTAGTATCATCTGTAACTTTTACTAATATACTGTAGATCCCTCTTGCAGATTATTGAAGACATTAGATAGAATTAGGCCAACACAGTATAAACAACTAATGGGGAGGGAGCAATTAAAATTGCACAATGGGATGATTCAAAGCACAATTTATATTTTAAGATGCTACTTCAAATATATTTTATCCCACTTAGCAATTTATAAGATGTTAATTATCTCACTATAGCTACAGTTTCTAAATGCAATACTATAATTTTTCTGCATACATAATTAAATGTAGAATAGGAAGCAAGCTGACAATCAGTCTTCCTCTGCAAACAAGTCCCATTCCAGCCACTGACCAGAGAAAGGAAGGCACGTCAAGTCTACTCCTCAGCACAAACTTTTAACCAGTTAATATTAGATCTATTACTCTACATACCTTTAAAATTACAAATGAAAATACAGAGAGTTCTAAATTTGCACTGACAATCAAGAATGCAGCTCCTTTCAAAAGTCCTTCTGGAATTCTACAGTGTAATCCTGTAATCCAAAGAATGTTGAACAACATGCTAACAGTACTTCAAACTGGAAAGGTATTATTTAATATAAAGCTTAAAAAACATTTAAGCCACCTAGTCTATGAAAAACACCATTACCTAATTTATGCAGTTTTCCAGAAGACTCAGTTTCAGTACAACTTATCAACTCTCCTTCTGTTCTTGATGATAACTACAGATCACAACAGAACTTTCAGAGTAGAAAGCACAGCAGCCAACTATTCCAATTCTTAAAGCTATTTGCCAACCTATTGAAAACAAGAAAATAATTTGTCTGACGAAATGAACAATTAAAAATCAAAGTGAAACCAAGGGTTAAAAGGTAAGTCTGAAAATATATTAAACATAAAAATAATACAGTCCATGCTATTTTATGCACAGTTGTTTATTCTTGTTCCATGTTTTAAAACTTGGACTCAGAAAAATCACAGGAAGTTTTGGTTTTTTACCCTCTTTTTTTTTTTCCCATTTCCATTAAAAGCACCATAGTTACACATCTTGATTCAATCGTCCTTTTCCACAATCACTTCTCCATGAAGTACCCTTCTTCTCTGCCGCAGCATGTGGAAGTAGAGTTGTGGAAATACTTGACCAAAGCATAAAAGAGAACAAATTAGATGAACAAATTCAACAGATCACATAACAGAAAAATACAATTTTGCAGAATGACAAACTGAGGAAAAACTATGGCACACAGCGCTGCAGCTGGTTAAGGTAAATAATAGGAAGTCATGAACATGGCCATGAATTACAGAACAATAACTACTCAGAAGTCAGGCATGGTCCCCTGAATGCATACCCTGTGTTCAAGGAACTTCCCTCCAACACTTTCTTTGTATAAACAGGACTTAACCACATTCTGGCAGTGCCTGAAGTCCTCAAACCTCTGCTAAGGCAAGCATGTTTGAATTAAGGGTTTGAGGAGGATACAAATTTACCCTACCCGTTCAAGTCTGAAGTGAGGACCTGCCTCCCTCCTGGCGCTCTGTAATCTATTACTGTCCTGCTGATATATTTGATCCTTATATTTAATGGATAGAAAATCGGATTTATTCCTGAAGCATTAAGTTACATAAACAACTGTAAAACTGTTAGTAAGTTATGATAGCTTAGGACGTTTTTTACTCATATAAATCCCTCTTGTTCACCTTCATGATTTCTTGTGACAAAAGAAAAAAATCACAGTGTGCATGCATACTGTGAAAGTCCATGTTGAAGGTCAACTTCTTAAACAAATAACCTTTTACAGATGCAGATCACAGACCCTTTTAACTTCAATTTTGCTGCTTCTCAATGCCTCTCTCTAATCTCTTGCCTTGTTTCTAGCTTCATTGTCCAGATTATCTAAAATATTCTATTTGCCTAGTTTGGTCTAGCCCCGTTCATGGTGCTATACCCGAATCAGGTTGCTTTCTCCTTGTCTACACTGCTTAGTTACTGGTGGAAGTAACACTGGAAGTGAAAGACAGATAGTGTCTCTAATCTTAGCTCTGGTTAGCCAAGTGATCTGTGGCTTCTGGTATCCAGAAGTGCAAGGACAATCTGATTAAACCAGGGACTGAAGTATGTTCAGAGAGGTTTGGGGGGTAGATTTCTGCAGAAATAAAATCTTGGAGAACATTGCTTCAAGTTTTTTCCAAGCATGCTCAAATGGTGATTTTCAGAGGTGACACAGAACTGGATATCAATAGCAATAAAAACAAGGCAAGTCTCTGGGACAACCTGGAGGACAATTTTTAAGCTATTGTTTTAAAGTGGCAGGGGCACTAGAAGTTCTCAGCAATGCAGTTACAGACATTTCTGTGTGTAAGCAAAAAGGTTTTTTTCTTTGCTCAAGTCTTAGAAATGTTTTTAGCATTTCCACTGAAATTTTTAAGACAGCTTATGTTCTGAGGCAGATCACAGGATGGAAAATTTCAGTCTAACCAATTAAAACACAGCAAAGCTTGGAACAACAGAAAGCAGGCTTTTATAGAAGAAAGTATTCAGCAAATTTAACCACAGGCAGTGTTTCCAGCATTACTGATAATTGATTATTATGTTGTTAGCATTACTACAGTTAAGTAATACTTACATGGCACATAGGAGAACATGACAATAATAAGGAAGTAATAGTAGTCAAAGGAGACATTATATTTGTTGGGAAGTCTCAGTGAAAACATTCCTGTTTTCTTCACATAGGGTAAAGCAGCATATATGGTTAGCAGTTCACCTGCAACTCCAGCAGGATACAAAATGATAAAAAAGTTGTATCTGCATAAAAGAAAAACCCTTGTGAGAAACACTCCATGAATTTAAAATTTCCTCTTGTTATTATTAGTGGCACAGCAGTATTACAGTAGTTCCTACACCAAAATCAAGAACCACATCCTAACTTGGCACAAAATACTAGTTCCAGTTACTTTGGATAGCATTGCTTAGGTTTACAAAGAATGCATTCCTCAGTCCTTTTATTTAAAAACAGTGAAGTATCAGAATGTTTGTATGTCTTTCTAAGACTAAAGAGTATAAAAATCTGCAAATTTGTAGTCTCCAATGATTACTTTTTTTTTTTTTTAAATTTACTGATCTTGCTCCTGCTGTCACCAACAGGATTCAGACAAGGACTAGATCCCAAATTCAGATGATCCTACGTATCTTGGACAGTGGGTCAACTCTATGTATTATAAATTATTTAAAGATAATGAAAACATTGAGAAACATCAGAAGTCTGTTTTACCCACTGCCACATGGGAAATCCAAATACTACTACATTTTCCACTAATGGAAATGGAAATAAAAAATAAAATGAGCGCACCAGGAACTCATCAGATCCATTTTAAAATAGGAAGATGATGTGCAAATAAAAGGCAAAGGCATTTGGTTTAAAGAACGCGTGGTTTGGATGCCATAGGCCACATAGGTGGTAACAAAATGAAAAATGTAATTAATAGGGTTTGTGCTGTCTTTATGCATAGTGCACCATGGAGATGCAGTTTCTCCTAAGGAACAGCTCTCAAGTTCATTCAGGGAACAGCAACGAGAGCTGTCGCACAGAGAGAAAGGTACAGCGTGCAGTCCATGACCAAAAGAGACAAGATCCAAAACAGTAGCTCTAGGAGCAGATGGGCTTAGTGGACTCACGGGTCACAGAACAGATTAAGAGAGGTGTAAGAAGGAACTGATGCTATGACCCACCCACAGTTTGTCTCTATGCAGCGAAAAAAAAAAACCAACCAACCAAAGTAAAAATTCTGAACTAAAATTTAGAGCATACCTATTCCATTAGCCATGGACAGACAAATCTTTTACAATTATAAGCTAAAGATCAGAAATTTCCAGCTCCCTCGGACTACTGAATTTATGCCCAGCTGTGCTGTTTGATTATCCATAAATCTTGATAGGATATTTTGGACTCTATGAAAAGATAATACATTTTCAAATTTTTTTTTATAGTATATTTCACCATATACCTCTGCTGTGAAAATGTCAGTTTTCCCTATTGTCTGTTAAAAGGAAACAAAAATTCTGTCATTCAAGACACCCTGACTTGATGGCAAAAAGTTTATCTGTCAACATAGTACATTCTGAATGCATTTCTCTTTCTGAAGCCTAAATAAACAAATATTGATGAAACCAGACCTGATTGTTTTCAAGTTTGCTATTTAGTGCTTAAACATAACCAAGCCTACCACCTTAGGTATAATACATTATCTTTTTGCTAATAAGAATGGACATAAATATCAGACATATCAAAGAAGCGTATTAGAAGCATCAGAACTGCATTATCTATAAAACAAAAATAAAGGAAAATAAACAAACACACTCTTTTAAATAAGAATCAACTGTGCTGAATGTAGGTTAGATATTTTCCTTCTAACAGTGTAAGTCTGTCTGTCTTACATGTATTTTTCAAATCATGACTACAGGGAATACTACTCTTCCAGTTAAGTCACCTGATAAACATGCAATCTCTGTAATAGATGTGATCTAAGTGGCCAGTCTTAAGTTTGCTTCAAAAAATCAAAGCAGTTTTGATATGGAACGCACATTTTATGTGGGCTAAACTAAGTCAATATGTAGCTTCACCACATGGATATAACCTTACAAAAGCTCAGACAAAGCAGAACTTCTCATAAAGTAGTAGTATGCACGCAACTCGTTTTCAAAGACCTGAAATCCACAAAGACTAGCACACGTGCTTAATTTTGGGCATCGTATTCAAAAGCATCTTAAGGAGCCAATACTGTCAATTAAAAGATGACTCCAAAGCTAAAGGAAAAAAAATTTAAAGTAAATGAAAGCAGAGTTCAAACCGTGAGACACAAAAAGCAAAGAACAAATCACACCCCAAAACCTCAGCTGAAATATTTTAACATTTTAACAAATAGCAATGATCCCAAGTACAGAAAGCAACTGACTTGCACTCTGCTGACACATAACCAAAGCTCAAACATCTGCTCTCCTGTGTGTTAGCTCAGCATGCGTGAAACTAACATGCACAGAACCGTGAGAAACTGAAGTGCAAGACATCTCCACCTGGCCCATTTAATGAAGTATGGCAAATGGTTGAGCAGGTTGAATGTGTAGAAGGAATATCGAGTAATCTCTGTCACAGTCCATACGACCAGAAAAAGAATAACGCTCTCCTCATTCTGGATCTGCAGAAGTATAAAGAACCAACAGTTTCTTCATCCTTAAGCTTCTTTTCTGTGCAAACCGCAACAGACTTCTGTTTAAGATATATGGAACAGAACTAACATCTTGTGAAAAAAGAAAATTTTGGCTTAAAAGTGATATGCTGAAACCATTACCATGTACAGTTCTTTATCATATGTATTTACTAACAAACAGACATTTTGCAAACTGAGCAATCTTTATCCGTTATGCAAATATTAAAATATAAAATCCTATAATTAGGCTTATTCCTCCTTGTTATTCTCTACCCGCATTTTCACTATGCTATCTAACTGTCTCCCTCCTTTTATTTGTGGTTGATTTACTTGTTTATTTTCTTACTCCTCACAAGAAGAAAACAATGCTACAGAAGACACATTCCTTTCATAGTCAGTTTTTACCCATTAGGCATTTCACTATTCTGTCTCCTAGACTTTCTCTTACTTTTTATCTTGCTCCTTCCTCACTGTTTAACGTGAATCTCCATGAAACTTTACACAAAGGGAATTGCTTAGTATAATCTGCTAACTGGAACTTGGTCGCAGAAGATCAAATTTAGCAGACTTCAGGGAGCTGTGAGATAGTTAAGGAGCTGGAACACAGATGGATCACTAAATGAAGAATAGTTGGTAGATCAGGAGCTTTGGGTAAACTCACTCAACAATCCCATTTAAGATTTAAGTTCTGAGTCATTAAACTGCCTCATCGGTAGGTAGCACATCTCTCTGCTGTTTCAAAACATCAGTTCTTTTTCACTCTAAGTGAACAAATAAACAAGAGTCCCCAAATACAAAGAAGGCATGTGGGGATCTATTACAAACACTACCTTCTGAGAAGAAGAATTACACGCAAGTAATTTTCTTTTCTTTAAAAGGGGAGGAATTTTGTAATACACTTCCATGCCTGAAGGCTGTAAAGCTCCAGGGATGTCTGTGAAATAAAATAAAGTAACACAAGTTTTGTTAAAATTACAAAAAAGGGAAACGATTTTTTTAAATAAAATGCAACACGGTGACAAAGCTTAATACATCTCAAAGATGCTGCAAAGGCACAACTCTGTCAAAAGTCAAGAAGAATAAGTGCTTATCATCTCATAAAATTGCGCCCTCGATGTATCAGTCAAAGAAGGTGCACTTTTAGTGAAAGGATCTCAGCAACATCGCAAAAGAAAAGGAGATATAAAACCACTGCCAAACACAAACAAATAGCAACAACTGAAGTGCAAAGACATCCAAACAAATAAGCAAAGGGAAAGACAGAATTAGGCCGTTCTTAGCCTCATGCGATTACAGACAAACATTGATAACCCAAACTTGGATTCATGTCACAGTGCTAAATCCAAGCAGAAGAGCTTTAAATAAGTATGCAGAGAATTCCTATCTGTTGCCTTGCAAATCTCCAGTCAAGTAGAGAGATCTGGGTCTGGCTATTATCACTAACAAGCCTCTCACCACCTAAAGTGACCCTGAACGTTCATGCCTGCTAAGCAATAGCAGCGTGAAATACAATCAGACATACATTCAGATGTATTTTTTCTTGGACACAGCTTGACCTACTGTACTGAAGATAGAGGAAACAAAAGAAATGACTGGATACGCTAAAGATTTAATTCATTGCAGATAATAACAAAATGGCAAAATGCAGTGCTATATTCCAGCATTCATGTAAACACTCAATACAAAAAACTTGTTAATCTTTGAAACATTTTCCCTTAAGGGACAAATGAAAAAACTTAGCTTACTAAGGGAAAAAAAAAAAAAGCTATGAAAAGCCTATTCCATGTTAAGAAAAGCAGCAGTAAAGGAAAAGATGAAGTGTAGAAAACGAGTCCTCTGTGAACTGAAACAAAGAGATTTGAAAACTGAGGCAGGTGCTATGACATCCCATCAGAAGAAAGGCATATGCCATCTGCTGGTGAGACAGTTTAATGGCTCAGCTTTTTAAGTTTAAAGAAATCCAGGAGCACAGACTCAAAATCTATCACTTAAATCTTACACGCCCTTCACAGAAAGCAGACCTCAGAAACAGAACTGATTGTCTTATCTGCTAGCTGTAAGCAGTCTGCTGGTTTCATTCTGCTAACAAATCACTAGACTTACAATAACCACCTGCAACCAGGCAAATAAACATTTATACAGGACCTTAAGCATCACTGTGGCATGCTGGGTGACTTGATATATTTTTAATGAAAACAATGCAGTATGCATGCCATCAAATATTAATATCACCGTAATGTGAAAATCTTGAGAAGGTTGCTAAAATAAACTGCAAAATCACAACCATGTTTATCCACGTAAATTTCATTTAAGACATATTTTCATTTAGATTAATTCAGTAAGTTCTAATTTAAGTTTTTGAAAGGGAACCGGTAACACTGGTAGATTTGCTGGTAAATAATAGCAGTAGTCATTGATCTCACTTAGGCAGACCACAGCTGGCACGACACCGAAGAGAGGGCTGATTCACAGTTAAGACCCAGACCCAGTCTCCTGGGTAGAAGCACATAAATTCCATCCCGTAACCTTAACTTCCGAAATCACACTTGAGTATGTAAGTATTCTCTAGAGGAATGTCATTAATTTTTAAATTGGTCTTCCTGGTGAAGTGAGAATGTATTAATAGCTTCCCCTCAAAACTAATCAAAACGCGACTTGCTCACGCACATACCTGTTTTATACTATGCGCAATGAACCACACCATGAAGATTCTTGAACTCACTTGGACCCCAGTCACAAGCACAGATGTGCGAACTATTCCTTAAAAAGAGAAACGTGTTATCTCTATTCCACAATTCATGCTTTAATTAGTTACAAGAGAAACTAAAACAAAGAACTCACCAACTGCACAGTGGACTACCTGTAAATAAAAATAAGTTAGAGGTTACTGATGTAGACTACGTTACTCTCTATACTATAAACACGGCCTTTCAATATTAATATAAACCTGGGCTTAATTCTGAAGAACTCTTTTTTTTGTCTCTAACCAAGTGTTTTTAAAAGAAATACATGTTAGAGCCCTGGCAACTAATGCTGTGATGGGCTCAGCATCTGATCTGTGCAAACACATGACAAAGATGTATTTTCCTAATTAATTGCATACATGACATATTTAGATACTGACAAAGCATTTATTTTTTCAACCAGTATGCTCCCCTTCCATTAGCTTATTCAAAGAAGACTTTCACAGGACAGGGTGCAGGGAGTCATATAAGGGATGCTAAACAAATAGCAATTTTAAAATGTTCTGTATTCATTATGAATTAATAACATGGTTATAATTTTGCCAATGACAGCTATGAAGCTTCAGATTTACTGTATTTTCTGGTCAGTAATGTTTAGCAAATAGAGTTCTTTTCATTATTTTGACAGATTTGAGTAGAATTATTTATTGTGAAAGTTTAATAGCATAAAAGCCTATACGCAGCTGGCCACGTGATTTTAATATGCTTGAACTACAGATGTTATACACAGATTGAGAAAAAATATTAAAATTTAGGTAGGCACTCATTGTTGTGCCTGAGAAAGAACTGTAAGTGCTCAGTACACCCAACAGTTTCATTCCATAGATGTACCATAAACTGAGACCCCAAGTGAGTAGCTGGCACAAGTCATATTATTTAAATACTTTGCACAACTTGCACAGACCCTGTTGTAATGGATTAGATGGGGCATGTGAATCGAGTCTGGAAACAAGCAGAAGCAGGAAAGGCACAGAAGGATGATGAGTCTTGTATAAGGAATAAGAGCGAAGTTACCATCTCTGGACATTGAGACGAGATATCTACTAAGCTAGAGGGTTGATCTGATGGCTGAAATGCCTTCAGAAACTTTGCATTTTGAGTTAAAGACTCTCAAACCAAAGCACTTCCCAGGCAGTATTTGATTTAAAGAAATATTAGAATTAAAATTTGAAAAAATGCACCCATTTATTTCAACAAGTCACCTTGGCCCCCCCAAATCTTCTTTGAATAATAAAATTAAAAGGACTTTAAGTAATCTTCTTTCGATAATAAAGTTAAAATGATTTTAACTATTAATATAATATTTTGATCCTAAATTCAGGTTAATAATAATGTGTTTTGCCTATGATACGCAGCATCCAGTAAAGCAAACTAATGTTTAAAATTTACCTCAAGCAAAGCAAATGTCTGGAAAAATTTAAGCGTCTTTTGAACGCTTCTGAATAAGCCTCTATGTGTTCCTTTCTGTATATAAAACCGCACCATGGCAATACCTAATACCAGCCACCTACAAAAGAAAGAGAATGGATACATTTCAGATTAGAATTCTAAAAATATCCATCCATGGTAAATAATTTAGTAGAATATTTTCTTCACAGAATATCTTTGCTTCTTTACTTGTCGGTGTTCTTAGTAGATTATTAAAAATATCTTTAGACATAAATATTATATTATGTTATGTAAACATGACACTCTTATCTCTTTACTTGGAAAAGGACAGAAAATTACTTGTTTACCTTCAGAAGACTGACTTGAAATGAGAGGACCCCCCAAAAAAACCCACAGGTCCTTCAGACTTTTCACTAGCAGTGACTATATATTTTTACTATTAAATCCTCTTGCATCTTCACCGTGAATTACTGTTACTTGAAAACACGTCATGAACCAGAACCTATGCACATCATTTTTACATTTTTCATGGCCCCTCAACTTGTAATTTTCAGAACCGACCAGTGATCTGAATGTTTCTGTTTGTGACTATCCAACTGAAGTTACCATTACGATTCAGTTTTCAAAAGTGTTGAGAACTCATCTTTGAAAATCAGACTCCAAAGAGCTGAAAGATGGGTGCTCTATGCTCCTGGCTTCCAGAGGCTGGTATTTTTAACTGGCACATTTGATGGTGTTGGCTAGTTTTTTAATACTTTTTTAAGGGAACTAAACAATGCTACCAACTGATAACCCTTCCAATGTAAAAGAGAGAAAGTAACAGTATCTTTTAATCAAACTGGAATTTGATATAAAACTTAAACTGAGATCTCAAATGGAAATTGAGACTTAAAAAATAAACTTCTGAGCTGTGGTGGGTTGAACCCCACCACCCAGCCCAGACCCAGTACAATAACCCAAGGCATGCATAACTCCTTCCACATAATTAATCCATGTTTATATAATTAAGATTTTCAAAACAGCGTACTATATGTTCCACTGCAGAGCTATACCACATTCTCACAAACATCATGCTGGTGAGGCACCTTGAAACTCCAGGTTTCAATCCTCAACAACTAAGGACAAAAATTATTTAATATGGACTTATAGGCATAACCAGAGCTATGGATGGCTATTTTGAGAGTTAAAAATAAACCCACAAAAATTACAATAACTTTAGCTTAATTTCTTGTCTGATGATATCGGGAAGTTACTCAGTCCTTTCATTCTACATAAAGCCATAGCAAGCATGCTGTACAGAGACATGAGCTCTGGCTAAGGAAGGGCCCAAGTGACAAAGCAGAGGGGGCTGAGAAATACTCAGAGGCAGATTCAGAGAGCATACAAAAAATCAGAAAATTATTTACATAAACATTTGGGTAAATATTTAACACATCTCCTGTTCTTATACTCTTCCCTAAGCATAAGATATTGGCTAACATTGGAAACAGGCTACCAGGAAATACCGATATTTGGTCAGACCAGTTATTCTGTAACGGCATGAGAGTCGCACGGATCGTGACAGCTCTCTGTTTGCCTTGGATGGCATGTACTTCAGTATCAGCCCCTTAACAACTCTTACACACGGTGCCTACTGCTACGCAGTCACTTGGTGTGGCCCATTCCAGCACTTCATGACAGCATTTCAAACTCACATAAAGTTAGTGAGGCTTCCCCACCCAGTAGGAATGATTCCTCTCCTGACCTCTTCTACTTTAAGCCCATGAATCCGATCTGCCAGAGCTCCAAAATTTGCCCCCACAAGTGTTACTTAGATTTTACAACGGATTTTAAATCTGAGTGCATTAATTTGAGGTCATCTCCCCCGTCTGTGGAAATGAGGAATTATTGGAATATCACTGGTAGTCCTTCACAGTCAAACTGCCCGGTTTTATAATGAAGTGTTTGACAAGGGGAAGGTGCTAGTGAGTTCACATCCAGCTGGCAGCACAAACGGTGACAGCAACAGCTCTGTCCTAGCCCTTGCCTGAGAAGTCATAATACATCTAATCTAACAACGCATTTTCTGCACCTCATTCGTAACAAAATGGTTGCAAAGAGAAGTAATCTCGGACTACACTCAGAAGCAAAGGCTGCAAACATATTTTTCTTAAATAAATATTTATTTGGCCGTGAACTTCTGTAGATCTATTTATTTAGTTGTCAGTGGCTTTGACTTTGGCTCTCAGGAAAGCCCTTGTACTAAATATTGCAATAAAAGTAGCATTTCCAGTTGGGACTTGGAGTAAGTTTGGGTACTGGTCATTCTAGTCCCTTAAACCTTTGTTAGAAAGAAAGATAAGCTACAATTTTTTTCTTAGAATGGTTGTTAACATGCAATTATGTATGAGTTTGTTAAAACTCTAGAAACACTTTGCTATATTGCACTGTCTGGACAAATAGACAAATACACTGTTCTTGTTACTTACTTATCCTGTGTAGTACCCCTGTTAAGTATTGCTCCATTTCAAATGTTTATTTTTCTCTTACATTGTATCCATTAAAGATAATAAGAATTTGTTCCTGAAACTTATTTCTTTGTTTCCACATAAAATATGTGATTCTACATGTCTTAATCCCTTTTGATATTAATGGAAGATGGGAGAGAGGGAAGCGGGAGATACTGAAGGAGCACCTAAGGTCAAAACTAATACAGTTTGATAATCTTCCACAGACATAAAAGTCAGTGGCAGGAGTCAGCATTCATTAGCAAATTCACACATGGACATGAGGCTGGGAATTCAACGAGGTAACATTAACCTGCCAGCTAGAAAAAAAAAAATCACATCGAGCAAAAGCACTTTTCAAAAGGTGCTGCTGCAATATATGAACAGACTCGAATGCGTGTTCAAGATCCACACATGCAAGTGAGAAGAATGCCGTTACGATCATATTCCCGGCTTTCTGCATCAGTGCTCGAGCTCCCGCTTCAGCTGCAGCATATCAGTTTTGCTCTGCGGGATTCAAATGGCAGAGAGTTCACACGCTGGTGACCAAGGTAAAACTGTTCTCATGATGAATATCAGCCTAAAAGTTATGAAATTGATAGTTCTTAGTCTTCTTTTGAGCATGTGGAAGTTAATAGGGGTTTGGCTTATTTTTCCCAAGAGTTAGTGAACACGAAAAATTCTGAAGAAGTGAAAAGTATGTGCTGCCAAGCCCTGAGAACATAAACGTGAGTGCTCTTCTGATCTCCTCTTCAAAACGAACGCCCGCGGGCAGTACGGAGCGCCAGCTCACACCCGCCCCTCGGGCTACCACCGCCCTCCCGTCCCCTCCACCCACCCC